CAGAAGATTCTTTGTGTTGATCTGGTTTTCTAAAGTTCTTGAACTTCCTTTGCTTATTCTTCCAGAGTTTATTGATTCTTCTGGATAGCAAGGATAGTTCTTCTTCATCTTCAGAAGCAGACTCTTCAGAGCTTTCTTCTAATACCTACAATGCTTTAACAACTTTATTATATTTTAACGCAATTGACTTACCTTTCTTTAGAGGCTCATCTTCTTCTAGTTCAATCTCATGACTCCTTAGAGAACTGATTAGTTCCTCCAGCGTAATTTTGTTCAGATCCTTTGCCAGCTTCAGAGCAGTGACCATGGGTCTCCATCTGGTTGGCAAGCTTCTGATTATTTTCTTGACATGATCTGCTGTAGAGTAACCCTTGTCCAGAACCTTTAGGGCAGCAGTGAGAATCTGGAATCTGGAAAACATTGCTTCAATAGATTCAGATTCTTCCATCTTGAAAGCTTCATACTTCTGGATCAACGCCAGAGCCTTGGTTTCTTTGACTTGAGAGTTCCCTTCATGAGTCATCTTCAGGGATTCAAATATATCAAAGGCAGTTTCTTTGTTGATTATTTTCTCATACTCAGTATGAGATATAGCGTTTAGCAATATAGTTCTAGCCTTGTGGTGATTTCTAAATTCCTTCTTTTGCTCCTCATTCATTGATTTTCTGTCAACTTTCTTGCCATTCCCATCAGTGGGATGAACATATCCATCAATGAATAAGTCCCAAAGATCAACATCAAACCCTAGAAAGAAACTTTCCAGTCTATCTTTCCAATAATCAAACTTCTCTCCATCAAACATGGGAGGTTTTGTGCTGACTCTTTCTTCATATTTGTTGTTGTTGGGTGTTTGAGTTTCAGCAGCCATAATGTATATCAACCAAGAGTATCAAGAGTTTTTCTCACTCAATCTTTTCTGGTCACGGTTAAGTGATAGCACAAACAGAATCGGAGCTCTGATGCCAACTGAAGGTGAGAAAAACACTTATAAGGGGGGTTGAATAAGAGTTTTTAAAGGAATATGGCAATAAGAACAACTCAAGATTTTTATCCTGGTTCGTTGAACTCAACTACTCCAGTCCACCTTATCAAAGATGATTTGCCTTTCTCTGTAAGGACTTAATCCACTATTGATCAACTGATTACAATAGAAAGCACTAAGAACAACTGTCTTAGTCTTCTCAAGAACTACTGACCACACCTTGGTCTTCTTAAGGAACTTCTTACAATTTTAATGTAAACTAACAAGTGTTTTGAATGCTTTTAATAAGCTGTATCACAACTGTGATGTTTACACTTAAGATTAAGTACAACAAAACTATATGGTTTTATGAGAGATCAAAATGAGTAAGATCTTGAGAGATTTTCTCTTTTATGAATCAAGCGTGTATTTCTTTCTGAGTGATCTAGCAATGAGCAAAGGATAAGTAGTTGATTAGCAACTTCAAAATGTTGACGTAGTTCTCCTTTTATAGCCTTTTCAAATGCCTTGAGTGATGTACAACTGAATATAATATTTGATTGTATGACTTTTCATCACAAAAAGTATGGGCAGAGATATGCTTTCTGCAGAAAGGTATGGTTGTAGAAGCCTTGGGATTTGCACCACGTCACTTCTTTGGACAAATTAGTCGTTGGTTACTTTGGAAGTAGCACCACGTCTAATCAATTTTACATCTTCTTCAACAAGCTTCCTTCAAGATGAAGTCTTCACAATCTGTACTTTAGAACTTGTAGTAAGCTTAAAAGGTATGAAATGCTTTAAGATAATCAGAGCTTAAGATGAATGATAAGTCCAGAATCTTGATAGATGATCAGGTCTTTAATGTTTCAGAGTCTTGATAGATGATTCAGATCTTTAATGTATCAGAGTTTCAGTCTTCATCAGAGTATGCAGCAGTATGTGCTTTTGAGTGTGAATATTAATGATAAGAGCCTGGTTATAAAATCCTCTGAGTTTGTAGTGAAAAGAACTTCAGAGTCTGATAAGATCAGAGCTTTTAGCTTTTGTATACTTCTTTCAGTAACGCTTCAGATCATTCTGTAGCTTCTGCTTCGGATCCTTCTGGCAGCGCTTCAGAATCTTCTGATAGTCTTGCATCTGATGCTTCAGATCTTTGCATAGTTTCTTTGTACTTATTTTGCTTCTTTTAAGAGTATTTAATTTTATACCTGAAACAATAATACTTGAACAAATTTTAGAGTGTATATTTGCTCATTACAAAATTCTATAAAAGTTATCATCAAAACATAGAGATATAAGAAACACCAATCTGTGCTCTAACAAAGGCAACCTATTTTAGGCTAGAATCACTCTTTGATAGCAGACGTACGAAGTGGGGTTCGGTATTACAATCTGGCCAGCTGTATATCGATACTTAAATGAAATTCATGAAAGAGGAAGCTTCCAAAGCCAACACACACGTGGTCACAATCTTTGACCGTACAACTGGTTGGTTCAGTATTGCCGAGTCTATGGATCACAACGAAGGAAGGCCTAGGGGATGTTACCGTGTTGAATTGGATAAGAGCTGGTGTGATTGTGGAAAGTTTCAAGCATTTTGTATGCAGTGCTCTCATGTCATAGCAGCATGTTCCAAGTTGCGCCAGGACCCAACCAACCTTCTTTCTGTAGTTCACCAAGTCATTAGTCTATGCAATGTCTACACATGCAGCTTTTAAGTCGTGGCAAAGGAGGACTATTGCCTTAATACAAAGGCGAAATTGTTTGGCATAATGACTTGATGCGCAGACAGAAGAAGGGTCGGCCTAACAGCACACGCATTCGAACTGAGATGGATACCGCAGACAAGCTGGTGAGATTATGTAGTTCGTGTCGGCAACCAGGACAAAATCGAACAAAATGTCCTAACGTAGGATCAAGCAGCAGATCATAGTTTCATGTTTAATCTTGTCCCGTTAAATCAATATCAAATTCCATTCGATTAATAGCAACTTTTATAAGATTAATAGCAAATTTCATTCGAATAATACCAGGTTTCAATCAATTAAAACCATAGTTAACTGACACAACAACAACATGACAACAGAACACTGCGCAAAGGCAACATAAATTAAACAAACATAACAACAACGTAAAGACCTAAAATAGAACATTGCATCAAAGCGTCTACGATATCACGACCATCAACTTTATCTTCTTGGGTGTCAACATCATCACAAGGACACCGACATCATTTTCCACTTTTCTCCATTCGCGAGTAACTCCGTTTCTCCCGGTCTCCTCGACCAGCCTCTCGATTTTCCTAATCTTTTCTCCTGGACCAATGTCTCCTTCTAGCCAACGGTTCAGTTCCCTGTGCAAGTGCTCCAACGTCTGCGTATTCCAGAGGAGCACCTTCATCGGAGGCTTTGTTGGTGAAAACACAACTAGGGCATTTCTTTTCATTAGATCAAACGTTGGAAAAGGTTCCTCCGATGCTGATGACGACGACGAAGAACGTTGATTTAGAAATGCAGACATTCTAGACTCCACTCAACTCGAACTGCACTAACACTTTAGTCTTTTGGGATATAATGTTGTGAAAACATACATGTGTTTGCGGTCGTATTTATAGTAAAAAAAACAGTACGTACCCTATATGATATGACTTAAATAACCTTACAACATTTATACACTCAAAATTTGCTCAACACTATATTTTTATTTTGTATTTAAACCAGTTTAAGTTTTTTTTTTATTAAACATAAATTTATTAAATTAATTAGAAATTATTTTTATTTAAACCTAATTATTGTAAGTTTTTTAATTAAAAAATAAATTTTAAGGTTAAACCACATTATTTTGAATTTATTAATTCAAAAATTTATTTAAACATTTAAATCTAATTTTTTAAAGTTTATTAATAATATTTATGTTTAAAAAAAATTAATAATTCAAAATATAAAAAAAAATCGTTTTTATTTTTTTAAAACATTAAATGAATATAAAAAAATAATCAAAATATAAAACCAAGAATGATAGATTTTTGGAAACCCTAGCATTGCACTGATTCGCCAATCAGGATGACGCATGGAATCCCTACAACACTCATTCGCCAATTGATATGGTGAATTCATATTCTCCAAAATCTACTTTCAACTCATTCGCCATTTGAAATGGTGACCCAAGGTTGATTTGTTAGCCATTTTGGACAATTTTTTGAATACTTGGTTATTTTGGTAAATTAAAATCAATACTTGGTTATTTAAAAAAGAAATTCCTAGCTTTACCTTTTTGTTGAAAATGAAGGCTTTCTTCTTAGCAAAAATTTGCATAATCCAGATTAATTTTTGAGAAATAAGAATTCTATTTAGTTCTTCTGTCAATATATTTTTTAAACATATTTTTGATTTATTTTTAATCGTGATTGGACTATCATATATATTTTTTATATTACTTTTGTATTATTTACAAATACTCTCTATTAATTTTTTTTGGACAATTTGATTTTCATAATTTTTTTATAAATAAAATCGAAATTTGTAAAATATTCATGAGAAAAAAAATCAAAACTTATGTATTTGAATTTTAAAGATTAAGTTGATATCTATTAATTCAAAGAAGTCAGAAGTACACGACGATCGCTCAGATCCAACCATCAGAAAATGACAAAATCGAGCAAAAATGAAAATTTAAAATATCATAAACTTAGCAATATGTATTCTAAGACTTCCTCTATACTTACTATTATCTACATTGTTTCCGTAACTAATGTCATTATTGTATTTCCAAACTCCATAAATGGTCTCTATTGCAGCAAGTTTCAATATTGAGGCCCTCCATCCTTTTCCCTTTGTATTGTGAATTAACCAAGCAAGCTCTCTATCTCAAGTGAGAGGTATATGTGTTACATGGATCCAATAAAAAACTTGAGACCAAATCAATTTTAGTTTCTGACACCCATAAAATAGATGGTTCATATTTCCTCCTCAGTACAAAAACAACAAGTATTTTGGTTCAGTAAACCAAAATGACAAAGGCGGGCTTTTATAACCAATCAGCCATGGCACGCAAGCCACAAGGTCATTGCCGCCCTAGGTCTAGCACCATTACCACGAAGAAGCTGATACCAAGATACTTTAGGAACATCATACCTTATTAGCATGTACATACTCTTCATGCTAAACTTGTCTTTAGCCAACTTCTCGTCCCATATGTGTTGCACAGTACAAATGTTATCTCTGCTTGTCATAATCTTTTTCATGATCCAGGACTGATACGAAGTGGGTATAGCTGTCATGAAGTCACAATGTTTGAAGTAGTACGTATGAACCCATTTCACCCATAAGCTATCAAATTTGCCACTCAGATTCCAGAGAAGTTTCAACATTGTCACCTTATTCCAGGATTTCAGATCAATGATGCTAAGTCCACCTTGATCACGAGGTCAACAAACCATATCCCAAGAGACATGGCTTTTCTTGCTAGTATCTTTCCTTCCAGTCCACAAAAAGGAACGGTAAATGGAATCAATTTTGTGCAAGACATGTAGGGGATGGGGAAGCACTGCATTCAGGTTGTTAGTTCCATGATTGTATGATTGGCTAAATTTTGGTAAAACATGGTTCTACACTGATGTTAAGTAAGATGTTATAGCATCTTCATTAACTGTTATGACAGTACTACTGTCATGTGTTTCAAACAAGATGTCAAGATAGATGTCATGACATCTTTGTCTAGTACAGTAGGTGCTGCTACTTTATATCTCTTGACAAAGGTGTTTTGGTTTGATGAGATTCTCTTGGATATACCTCATGAGTATGTGTAGGTCAAAGAGATCTATTAGGAACAAAGTGCAGATTTAATTGGATTTCATAAAAAGGATCTTTGAGACTTTTTAGGAAACTATAAAATATGTGTTCCTATTTTTATGGAGAAGATTCTGCAGAATATTTACAATGAGAAGATTTGGAATTTGATTTGATTTGATCAAATATGAGTTGGTTTTAATTATGAGAAGATTCGGAGTTTGATTTGATAAAATCTAAATTGGTGTTCATAATGAAAAGATTTGAAGAATTATCTTTTGAACAGATTTGAAGAATTATTTGATTTGATTTTATCAAATCTGAGGAAGCTTTTGCTAAAGTCCAAGGCCATACTAGAAGAGTATAAATAAGGACTTTCTAGACCTAAAGAAGACAAGCATTCACAACAAGAAGATCTTGGGTGCAAAATAAGGTTTAGGATTTTGAGAGTATCTTGTGTGTGTGACTTTGTAAGTCACCCTTTGTATCTTTTGATGCATCGTGGTAGACATATTTAGGTTGTAAGTTGTTAATTGTAAATTGTTCACTCAAAGCTTGTAATAAAGAGTGTATTGTTCTTGATTGAAGCTGTTAAGCAAGATCAAGTATTGTCTTTGAAGAGTGTCTTCTAAAGCTTATTCATTTGTTGTTATCACTGCTGTGATTGAGGGGAGTGAGAGGTGTGTCATATCTAGGAGTGTCCTAGGTAGAAGTTGCACTGGGTAGGGATTAAGTGAGGGGTTGTAAGCGGGGGAGTTTAGCTATGAATTGATACTACTGATAGTGGATTTCCTTCCTGGCTTGGTAGCCCCCAGATGTAGGTGATATTGCACCGAACTGGGTTAACAATTCTTTGTGTTGTTTATCTTTCTGCATTAGTATTCTGCTCAATTTAAATGGTTAGATAAGTTGTTCTGTCAGTCTGCAGATGTTACAACAAACGTCATGACATTGTTAATTCTTAAAGTAAATTCAAAATGCTCGTGTTTTGTCCTTGTTCTGTTTTAGCAGAGATCAATATTCTAGGACATCTGTTAGGACATCTGAGATCTGCATACCAGAATTTCACAGGTGTTCGTGATGGAAAATGTTACACTATTGATAAGTTGAGCTCGACCTGCATAACTAAGAAGAGCAGTACTCCAACGTCTGATCCTTCCAGCAATCCTGTCAACCATAGACATGTAGTAATGGATAGCGAGCTTCTTTCTTGTCAAAGGAACCCCTAGGTATTTAAAAGGGATGGAACCTTTTGTAAAATGTGTGAGCCTAATGATGTTCTGTTTGGTAGTGGTGCCTACCCCTCCAAAGAAGACTTTACACTTGTTTGGGTTGATCCATAATCCTGTCGACAAAGTAAACTTGTTGAAGGCATTCATCATAATGGTAATGGAACCAATATCACCATAAGAAAATAACAAAATATCACCTGCAGAGGATAAATGAGTGAGGTTAAGTTTTTTGCACTTGGCATGATGGTTAAAGTTTGGATTAAGCTGAATTTGATCTAAGACTCTATTCAATTATTCCATGACAATCACAAACAGGAGGGGAGACATTGGGTCCCCCTGCCGAATCCCACGTCTGGCCTGCATACAAGTAGCTTGATGACCATTGACATTGAAAGTATAGGATACAGAGGTTACAGCTGCCATGATGCATCTAACGAATTGGTGTGGTATTCCAACTTCCTTTAAGATACAAACAAGGGCATTCCAATCGACCATGTCGTACACTTTCTGAAGATCTATTTGCATCCTGCATCCAGGAGTCCTATTTTTCCGAGTATAACCTTTAATCAGCTCATGGGCAAGGAGAATTTGATTATGAATTTGTTGAGTATAACCTAAAGAATTGTGATATAATTATTAAAAATATATTGTCCAAGTGGGAGATTGTTGGAATATTTTATAATTTAAATATTATTTAATTATTATATTCTAATAATTATTATGTGAGCATATATATTTTAATTATATTAGCTATTTATCAAAGTTAAGAGTCTTAATTGATTAAGTGATCAAATAAATTTAAAAGGCTAATTAGATTTCTATTTAGTAATTAATTAATTAAATAATTAATTAGATATGGGCTTAAATATGAGTGAATGTCATGATGACCGCTTTGGGAATAATGGGAACCCTAATTGGCCATCACACTATATATAGGCTATGGTCCCTAATATACCGTACACAAGCAATTTATCTCTTCTCTCCATCTGAAGAGTATTCAAGGCATTAGGAGTACCGGTTGAGGAAGAACCATATAAGTCACTAGGTGTTCGTTGTTCGTCTTTTACCTTTCAGGATTACCGCCAACAAAACTTTCTCAATAGATCCAGGTAATTTGGAAAGTAACACCAACTCTTCCATTATTGTCAAAATAAGTTTTTCTTTATATTTCACAATCTTGCTATTTCAAACTTCTCACATGTTATTTGTGATGTTATCCAACTTAAGTCAATGACTAAAATGTGTTTCATCCATGTTGATTTATCAATTTTGTTGAGATAACTCCATGTTTTTTATTAAGTGTCTTTAATTTGTCCATACGAGGTTTGAATTATGGCTCAGTTGTGTATTTTTCACATTGCAACACAATACTTCGTAATTCTTTGTCCTTCCACTGCTTGATGAAGATCTTCCATATATGAAGTGCATAATTTATGTGATAGGAAAATGACATTATTTTCTTTAGTGCATGCAATGATTCTTATAAATACAGGACAAAACAACCATGAAAATAAAACACAAAACAAAACAAAAAAGAGCGAAATAATTCTCCGATAGTCATTAATATGGACCAAATAAGTCCTTGGCAGTTATTGGTGTAAGTCAAATAAGTCCTTATCACGTGATAACTACATGCAACAACAACCAGAACATGACTATCATATAAATTATAAATAAAACATAAAAATAAAAGAGTATATTTTGTTGATAATATATGAAGTTCTAGCCATAACTCACATGGTATCCTTTGGGAGTTTGAAGTAATGCCAAAAACCACTTTCGACTATCCGTTGTCTCAACTTCAACCACAACATATATAAAAATATAAAACTGATTATTTATATTTTGAGCAACAATTGATAATTCCCCCCCCCCCCCCCCCCCCCCCCCCCCCCCCCATAATATCCATTCAAAAACACCCATCAAGATCCATCAATTTCCTACATCCGACTTTAAAGCCATTCTTATAAGCATCCAAGCAAACATCTAATCTATGAAATAACGAAGAAAATTCCAATATGGGTAACATTTTCATATTTTCCGTTGATCCAAGGTTGCTTCTCAATAACTCAGCCAAGTAATCCTAAGTTCATCCATATTGTTCCTTCTCACAATCTTTTGCTACCAATCTTGACTTTTTCAGTGCCCTTGATAACTTATTTTTATTGATATGGGTGAAATATTCCTCCTTCATCATATCATATGCTTGAATCCTTCTAAGGCCAAGTAATATCATCAATATTTACTTTAATTTATTTTCAACCTAATCTCTAATAGTTGACTTGCTCCCAAACACTTTACAATATGTATGTTCTAGACCAAGAGTTTCAATCTGGTAAGTGCAATGTACTAGTCAAAAAGTACATGTGTTCATGTCACCACTGCAAAGGGTAGGGATCCTCATAGGCCTTAGTAGGTATATTATGTTGTATGATTATTAGAGCTTGCCCAAGGAGGCCACAAGCTCTGTATGGTATTATTTCACGATAATTTGGAGGTCTTGATCACGTGAAGTTATCTTTATGACTTAAGATATAAGTTTATATGGGGGGTGATCTTTATGACTTAAGAGTTGTCCCTTTATCCTCTTGGATAGAGGTATTTATATAGGCCTCTTGGGCATAGGGTTTTCTTAGAAAGGGTAATTTTCCACCTAGTCGATGGTGGACCGTTGAATCCCTATTTCCAATGGGAATATGGGTTAGTTAATGATCTTAACTTCTCTCATTCCAAGTAACATCTTATCCCATGTTTTCCATAATTAGGCGATAATAAAGTCTTGGGGAATGGTGATACCTTCCATTGGGCGACATGTTATCGTCGCCTCTTCTGGGGCGGCCTACAGTCATCTCCCTTGAAGGGACCTTTTATAAATATAACACTACATAGTACCTTATACACAAGGCTTTTGATAGATGACAAAGTGTTTTTAGATCGCGACTTAGGGGAGTATCCCGAGGACCTGCATTTCCTAAGGATGCAGTTCCTCAGGTGGGGTTATATAACCTGACTGACTATGTCGTAAGTACCTTGAGCGAGGCACTGGTTATCTCGGTGGGACTTCTATCAAGCCCTCAGAAAATACTTGTAAGTCTCTCAGGCTAGACTTTGGTCACGCCTCAAGGCATGAGCTTTATGTCTGATCCCGCTTAACGAAACTCTAAGTCCCTCAGGAAAGAGTTTATTTAAACTGGAGAGTCTAAGTCCCTCAAGCATAGGTTTTTTTTTGAAATCTTGGTATTAGGCCTCGTGACCGAATAATTCAAGAGGACCAATCTCACCGTCCATTAGCGGGGGTTCCGTTTAAAGTCATAATAAAGCTCCCTATGGACTGGCTCAACACAAAGACC